GGGGGGCTGGTTTTGGGCTTGTTTTTGGGGTTGGGGTGCCTCGGGTTTAGGGTTTGGGGTAAGCCCGGCCTAATCAAGCTGCCCCACCCCAACAAAAAAAGTAAGAACATCTTTCTCTCCATATATGTGTATATGTAGAAAGGACCTGTGGGGAGAGTGAGAGTACTTGTCTCTATAGGTTCCCTTTTGGGTCCCTAGAGAGAACGGCACCTTATAAAAAAGGACCCCCCCCCCCCCCCCGAACGGGACCGTATTTTTCAGAACTACCCATGAGGAACCCCAAACCCCTAAACCCCTAAGCCCTATGCCCTACTTCGCCCTACCCACCCTAAACCCTTCAGCCCCAAAACCGAAAGCCCTGAAGTCTAGACCCTTCCTCCCAAAAACCGGAAAGCCCTTAAACCCTATGAAACAACCCTAAGCCCGAAACCCCTAAAACCTAAACCTTGAAATCCAAAAAAACCTAAAACCCTTGCCCTACAACCTGAAACCTTCAAGCCGCTCCCTAAAGCCCTGAAACTCTGAAGCCCTAGAACCCAAACCTTGGGCTTTGGGTGTAGGGATTGGGGTTTAGGGTTTAGGGTTTAGGGTTTAGGGTTTAGGGTTTAGGGTTTAGGGTTTAGGGTTTAGGGTTTAGGGTTTAGGGTTTAGGTTTAGGGTTTAGGGTTTAGGGTTTAGGGTTTAGGGTTTAGGGTTTAGGGTTTAGGGTTTGGGATTGATGATTGAGGGGACACTGAAGAGGCCATATTCAGGGGCCAGTTTAGCTTTTCTTAGAAAGCCTAGAACTCTTTGCCCTAAACTTAAGCTCTTAAAGCCTCAAGCCCTAAAGCCTTAAGCCCTAAAGCCCCTAAACCCTAATCCCTTAAGCCCGTAAGCCCTTAACACCTCAAAGGGGCGACTGCATCGTCTGGCCCAACATTGCCGCTGAAAAGGCGAGCATTTGCCCAATCTGGGGCACCCCCCCTCCGGCAGTCGCATATGCGTCGACTATCGTCTGCACTCGCCTCGCCAATGTCTCCATGCAGGCCAGTGTGGGAAGGTTGAATTGGTCGAGGGTGCCTGCGTAAAACAGGCCCTCAATCAAGCAGCGAAGTTCATGCTTCACCCTGTCCTGGTCGCCTAAAACATTAAAACCTTTAACACCTATATTTCCGACCCCTGGGGATTTCTGGTTTTGCCTTTAAACATATTTATATATAGGGCCCCTGAAGGACCCAAACAAGAGAAATAATAAATGTCCCAACAGCTAACCTCGTTAGGAGTAGCCTAGCAATCAAAAGGGTTTCCAGGGGCTTATAAGGTAACCCGAACCCTAAGAAAGTGGGAATAAGGGCCTACTTGGGTCCCAGCATATCCCTAAACCTAAACGCTAAACCCCAAACCCTAAACCCTCAACCTCAAACCCCAAACCCTAAAACCCCAAACCCTAAAACCCTAAACCCCATACCCTAAAACCCCAAACCCCGAACCCTGAACCCCAAACCCTAAGCCCTAAACCCCAAACCCTAAACCCTAAACCCCAAACCCCAAACCCCAAACCCTAAACCCCAAACCCTAAGCCCTAAACCCCAAACCCTAAACCCTAAACCCCAAACCCTAAACACTAAACCCCAAACCCTAAGCCCTAAACCCCAAACCCTAAAACCCTAAACCCCATACCCTAAAACCCCAAACCCCAAACCCTAAACCCCAAACCCTAAGCCCGAAACCCCAAACCCTAAACCCTAAACCCCAAACCCTAAACCCTAAACCCCAGCTTTCTGAGGCCCCAAGCGCGCTTGTGCTCTCCAAGCCCGCCCTGGACTCCGCTCATGCGCCTTGGAGGTTCATGGCACGCATGAACCAAGTATACCTGTACCAGTTTAGGGTTTAGGGTTTAGGGTTTAGGGTTTAGGGTTTAGGGTTTAGGGTTCAGGGTTTAGGGTTTAGGGTTTAGGGTTTAGGGTTTAGGGTTTCGGGTTTAGGATTTAGGGTTTAAGGTAATATTGATACTATACTATCCCCAGGGCCCTATTCGACTTGTTAGGGCCCCTATGTTAGGGCTTCGGGGGCTTGGGAGGCCTTGGGCTTTTTCGTGGGTTTGCACCCCCTAAACCCCAAACAAACCCGGTGAGAAGTACAGTTATAGGTAACACTAAACCCTAAACCCCAAACCCCAAACCCTAAACCCTAAACCGTAAACCCTAAACCCTAAACCCTAAACCCTAAACCCTAAACCCTAAACCCCAGCCCTAAACCCCCAAAAACCCTAAACCCTAAACCCCGAACAAAAGCAAGTGCGGCTCAGCGGCAGGTCCAGGGCTCCGAGGCGGCGCGAGGCTTCGGCGCTGCGCAGCTCGGCCTTTTTTGGGTTTAGGGTTTAGGGTTTAGGGTTTAGGGTTTAGGGTTTAGGGTTTAGGGTTTAGGGTTTAGGGTTTAGGGTTTAGGGTTTAGGGTTTAGGGTATGGAGTTTAGGGTTTAGGGTTTAGGGTTTAGGGTTTAGGGTTTAGGGTTTAGGGTTTAGGGTTTAGGGTTTAGGGTTTAGGGTCTAGGGTTTTGGGTTTAGGGTTTAGACTATTCGGGTGTTTGGCGTCTTGACCTGGAGGCTTGGGGGTTCAGTTAAACCGCTCAAACACAGGGAACACTCCCTTTGGAGCCCGACGGCCTGTGAGCTTGTGCAGCTTAGGATTTAGGGTTTAGGGTAAGCCTAAACCCTAAACCCTGAACCCTAAACCCCAAACCCTAAACCCTAAACCCTGAACCCTAAAGACTCCAAGGAAATATGACCTCTCCCATTCCTGAACCCTAGTAACCCTAAACCCTAAACTCGTAACGCAAACCCTAAACCCTAAACCCTGAACCCTAAACCCTAAACCCGAAACCCGAAAACCCTGCACGCAAGGCCTGCTGCTCCACGGCCCCAATCTTCTCAAAAGCCTCCTGCCTTGGCGGCACGGGCCCCTCTACTACTCAGGGATTTAGGGTTTAGGGTTTAGGGCTTAGGGTTTAGGGTTTAGGGTTGAAGAATTCGGCTTCTTTTTGCGGTTTTGGGGAGGCTTACTAAGGGATCCACGGGCATCGACTGACGGGAATTTCTTCGGGTGGTCTCAAGAATCCCCAATTTTTGAAGCCCTTCTGTACACCTTCAAGCCCCTGTTAAGGTAAGGCGCCATCTTGAGGGACCATACACAGCCCTGAACCCCAAACCCTGAACCCTAAACCCTAAACCCTAAAGCCCGAACATCGAAAATCTCCCAGGACAGGGAAATCCTCCCGGAGTAGGCCGGAAGAGATGATGTGACGACAGACAAGCCTTAAACCGAACTCCTGAGACCCTCACTCCTGAAACCCTCAACCCTAAACCCGAACTCCTGAAACCCTAAATCCCTAAACTCCTGACACCCTACACCCGATACCCGGTACCCTGAAGATTTGCCGAATACCCTAACCCTCCCTTCTTGAAGCCCGAAACAACCCGCGCTTGGCCCAACGACTGCTTCTGGCGGATGTCGTTCTTCAGGCGGGCTTCCTCAGAGGATAGAAGGGCTGCAGGGGCAGTCATGGCAAAGTCCCCCACAAAAAGTACGCCCCCCCACCCCTCCCCCAACCCAAATGATTCTTGTGGGTGGGCAGGGTTCAGGCTTAAGCAGCAAGAGGCGTAGAAACGTAAACCCTAGACCCTAAACACCCAAGACCCCAAAACCCTACCCCCCAAAAAAGAACCCAAACCCCAAAACCCGCAACCCTAAACCCCAAACCCTAAACCCTAAACCCTAAACCCAAAACCCTAAACCCAAAGCCCCAACCCCCCCCCCCCCCAAGAAAAAGGCCACAAAGGCCGAGGCAAGGCCTTCCTTCCGCCAAGCATCCGTGTCGGCCACGTTGCGCTCCAGGTCGCTGCGCACCACGGCCACCTTCCGCGGCTTCAGGGGGGGCGGGGGGGGGTGGGGTTTAGGGTTTAGGGTCTAGGGTCTAGGGTCTAGGGTCTAGGGTCTAGGGTTTAGGGTTTAGGGTTTAGGGTTTAGGGTTTAGGGTTTAGGGTTTAGGGTTTAGGGTCTTCGGGTTGGGGTTTGAGTTTGTGCTTTTTGGATGAACAGTGTTGGGTGTAGTAAGGTTGCCTAAACCATTTGGGTTTGGGGTTCTTAGTTTAGGGCATTTTGGGTTTCGGGTTTAGGGGTTTTGCTTAGGGTTAGATGGCTCTCGGCTTTTGAGCAAGAATTTGGCTAAACCCGAAACTCAAACCCTACACCCTGAACCCTAAACCCTAAACCCCAAACGCTAGACCCTAAACCTTGTTCTAAAGGTCCCTTAGAGGGGCCCTAAACCCTAAACCCTAAACCCTAAACTTGCGCGCAGGGCGGCCTCATTGAAGCAGTCGCTCAGAGAGTTCTGGGTCGTGTGCAGAGACTCCTGCGTGGCCGCCAGGTCCTGCCAGGAAGCGGCTTTTGGGGTTTAGGGGTTTTGGGGTTTAGGGTTTAGGGTTTGGGGTTTAGGGTTTAGGGTTTGGGGTTTAGGGTTTAGGGGGTTTAGGGGGTTTAGGGGGTTTAGGGGGTTTTGGGGGGTTTTGGGGCTTCGGGGGTTTATTGGCTTTGGTTTGAAAGATGTCATACTACATGCATGTTGCGCATGTTGCACCCTAAACCCTAAACCCTAACCCCTAAACCCTCTCTGCTTGCCAACTGTAGAAGCAGAGAGGGGCGGACCGATGACGAAATACAACAAACCAGCACGCTGACAGCAACATGGCGCCTGAACCGAGAGACCCCACCCAAAACCCCAAAACCTAAAATCCTAAACCCCTAAAACCCTAAAACCCCGAGAACCCTAAAACCCTAAAACCCTAAACCCCTAAAACCCTAAAACCCCGAAAACCCTAAAACCCTAAAACCCTAAAACCCCAAAACCCTAAAACCCTAAACCCCAAAACCCCAAAACCCCTAAAACCCTAAACCCTAAAACCCTAAAACCCCAAAACCCGAAAAACCCGAGAGCGCGCTCGAAACCAGCTTTGGGGATGGTACTTAGGCATAGTTCGTGGGGGATGTGCCAGTGGTGGACCTCAGTGTGTGTTTTGTGGGGTTTAGGGTTTAGGGTTTAGGGTTTAGGGTTTAGGGTTTAGGGTTTAGGGCTTAGGGTTTAGGGTTTAGGGTTTAGGGTTTAGGGTTTAGGGTTTAGGGTTTAGGGTTTAGGCGTTAAGGTCTTCGGGTTTAGGGTTCATGTAGGGCCAACCGGAGATGGGGGGCACTCTTCGAGTGTCATGTCGAGTCGCCCGTCCTTGTTGGTGAAGTCAATGCGCCCATTCAGGGCATTCACCGCCTGGCATTCTGGATACCCCCAAAATCAACCCTAAACCCTAAACCCTAAACCCAAAGAACCTAGAGGTGCTTAAAAAAGGCGGGAGTGGGTGACAGAGGTTCAGGGTACAGTATATCAGGCTCCCCTAAAACCCCAACAAACCCTAAACCTAAACCCTGAAACCATAACTTCCTCTTTCAAACCCCTAAATCCTCCTCCTCCCGCCTACCTCAACCCTAAACCCTAAACCCTAAACCTCCGCCGCCTCCTGCTCCCCGCCACACACGAAGTTGCAAAGCGTCCGGCCTGGTCCGTGTCACTGGTGATCTTCGCCTTCGACTCCTGGCAGGGGGGCGATGGGCTCCCGAAGCTTTGAAAGCTTGGGCTGGGGGTTTAGGTTTTAGGGTTTAGGGTTTAGGGCTTAGGGTTAGGGTTCAGGGTTTAGGGATTAGGGTTTAGGGCTTAGGGTTTAGGGTGTAGGGTGCAGGGCATAGGGCGTAGGGTGTAGGGCTTTCCGGCTTGCAGCTGGACATTGGGCTTAAGGCTGCTTAGGTGCGGGAGTTGGGTTCAGGGGCTTGGGGCTTTGAACCCTAAGCCCTAAACCCAGGAGACAGGCGGATGCTGTGAGATCATGGAGACGGTTTCGGGTTTCGGGTTCAGGGTGCAACCTAAGCCGCAAAAGCCCGCTCCAACCATCCGAGAATCTCTCCGACGCCCGAAAGAAAGAAGGTTTGGGGCCAGTTTTGGGTTAGAGTTTGCAGTAGGGTTTGGGTGTAAGAATTAAAGAGAGTTTACGTAAACCCTTAGCCCCAGACCGCCCTCAGCTCTCAGTGCGGATTCCTCGAGGTTGGTCTCCACCGCAGTGATGTCATGGCGAATGGTGGCCAAAATCTCGTCGACCTGCCAGTGCGGCCTTAAGGAGCGCCTCAAAAGTCATCCGGACCCCCAAAAACCCTTTAAACAAAAAACCTACTTTTTTTTTTCAATGCGCAAGCCGCGGGTCGGCGGCCGTCAGCACCGACGCTTTTCAGAGTAGTACGTAGGAAAGCGAAAGAAAGAACTATAAACAAACAGCTCTGAATGGAAATTATGGCTTATGTATGAGTACGCGCCATCGGTCCCTTTGTTGTGACAAGGGGAGAAGGGTGCGATATAGCTGGGTGTTATCCAGGTATACCAAGGAGGAGCCGCCATGCGCCCTAATGATGTCAGTCTGCGTAGGTATCCCAAAGAAGGAGTGGCCAAGATCAAGATGGGAGGGGGGAGCGTCTGACTCTACGTATTCCGAGCGAAGCTTTGCTTCCGTAAGGCAGGATGCTGCCCAATGCGTCCTGGGACGTCCAGGTCTATTACTCCCAAAGGTGCGCCTATAGGAGTGGGAGTGGGCAAACGTAGATTGCGCTTGGAAGCGGAGTGACGAAGGAGATGCCCCAATAGCTTCAATCGATTCTGGGAGTACAATCGAGAGGGAGGAATAGTCTTCGAAGTACGGAAAGCTAGATCATGTAAATACTGGTTGGAGCAGTGCGCTTCCGAAGGTTCTAGTACTCTGTGGTAGAAGGACGATTTAACTTTGAAAATACGACGTAAAGTTTTATAGTGAATAGAATCAAGATGAATCAGTTGAGAAGGAGACAATGTAGCACTTTCCATTGCATATAGTAAAATAGACTGTATGACTGTTTTGTAGACTCTTAACTTCCAGGAGGGTGGGAGGGCACTGTGTCCCGTAAGAGGGCGGAGGGACTTAGAAGCCGCAATTGCCTGGGAGATGCGATATCGTAAGTGCTTGTTATTCGAGGACGTTGCATCTATGTAGGCTCCAAGGTATTTGACCTCATTAGAGAGGGAGACTGGTCTTAGGGATGAAAGAGAACCTTGGCAATACAGGCAATCACAGGGGAAGGAGTCATTGGGTTGGAAGTATATTCTTCTGTCAGTATTAAGACGCATATGTTCGCACTTATCCTTGTTCAGTTGGAGGCCGCGAAGACGTCCCTCCTGTTGTAAGAGACGCAGGAGCCTATTGAGCTGGTCCGCCGAAGAAGATAACAAAACTGTGTCATCAGCATACTCCAGGTCCCACAGTGGCGAAGGAGTATAAAAGACCCCAGATATTTCTCCATACTGTTCAGCGTACTGGGATTCTACATCATAGAAAAGGTGAGTGAGCACAAAGGAGAACAAGTATGGGGAGAGCGGGCAACCTTGGCGGAGGCCTTTTGTTTGTAGCTGTAAGTCCGAAGTGACACCGGAGTCACGGACTTTAAAGGAGGGAGCCCTATATAGTGCCATAATGACATTAATCATCCTTTCGGGGACACCCATAAAGATCAGGGAGGACCTAATAGCAGTGAAGGTAACTGAATCAAAAGCTTTTTCCCAGTCCAGAAAGAGAGCATGGAAAGAGGATGTTTGTCGCTCAAAAACTTCCACTAAGCGCCTAAGGACATGTATGGGTTGAGAAGTGGAATGATTTTTTCGAAAGCCAAATTGGGTAGGCCTAATACGAGCGTCAAGGTAGTACTCAAGGCGAGTCTGAATCATAGAGGCGAAGATTTTGTAAGATATATTGGTGAGAGAGATTGGACGGTAATTGCTCATAAGTCGTGTGTCCTTCGCATGATCTTTAACTATCATTACCACTTCTGATAGCATCCAAGAGTCAGGCACCGTGGCGGAGTCAAGGCATTGATTATAATGCTCGAGCATGAAGCTTTTAAGTATGAAAGGAGCGTGCTTATATATTTCACTAACCAATCCGTTAGGGCCGGGAGCCTTGGATTTTTTTAGTTTACGGAGAGCAGCATTCAAGTTTTGCATAGAAAAAGGAGCGGATATGGAGTCGCTAGGGGGCAGACCAGTGGTAACAGGAACAGGAGCATCTCCTGCAGAGTACCATATTTTGGAGGAGAGATAGTCAGCAAATGTTTCGGCTCGACGTGTTTTAGAAACGACTCTGTTGCGTTGATCTAGGAGGCCCGCTGCTCGTGGTCGAAAGGGAGCTCGGACAGATTTTACATGTTGCCATTGATGAACAGAGGAGCCATGAAAATCGCTGTGGAGGCAAGATTCGACGAAGCTCTTTTTATCTTTTCTAGCACTCTTTTTAATCTGTTTGCGCGCCTTTTTAACTTCGGAGACATCATCATATTTAGTTTTTTGAAAACGGTCGATAAGGTCCAGAGTAGACTTAGAGATCCACGGCTTTTTTGCACTAATGGGAATCTCGGGGATAAGGGAAAGAGAAGAGGTTAGAATTTCAGTTAAAAAGGAGTCCTGTTTGTCAACTGTTTTAGAAGACCCTTCCTCAAAATTGAAGGTGAACTCCGGGGGGGAGAGAGAGGCCACAGGGGAGAACGAGAATCTACCTATTTTGCATGATTCTGTAACACCTTTTTTGGCAAGCCGGTCAGCGATTTCATTACCTGGGACACCTTGGTGAGCTGGTACGCTTAACAGAAGAACATAGAATGTGGAGCGGAGAGCGGCGAAATATTGTTGCGCAAGAGCGACCAATTGCGGGTGAGTCGCCGGAAGGGAACTACCTAAAAGGAGATTCTTAGCATAACTGGAGTCCGTATATATAGTGAGGGAAGAACCCGGGGGATAACTTGAGTAGTAGAGAAGAAAATCAAACAACTCTATTAGAGCCTTAAGTTCTCCGGTGTTATTTGAGCCTGGGAGTGGTCCTTCAACGGCAAAAGGATTTGACTTAACAGATCCAAAGCCCATGATCCAAGTTGAGGAAGGGGGGGGATGCTTAGTGGGGTCAGTGTCAACTAAGGTGACAGCAAATCCCCATCCGGCGGGGTTATTAAACGACACAACCTTATTATTAGGACAGGAGCCATCGGTATATGCGACGTAGTGATTCGGACATTTGGGAGGAAGGTTATAGGAATCATTAGTTTCTTTGAGAAGAGTGGTCTCAACCTTTTCCGAAAATAGTGTGAGATCGGTAAAATCCTTTTTGGGGGGCGCCGTCGAAGCAACGGGAGGGAGAAAGTGGGTTTTAATCCCAAAGGAGAGAGGTAAATGGCGAGTGTTGATAAGCTGTTGAAAGGTGGAGCCATAAATGGTAAGTACATCGCGGAGCCGGGGTGGGACCGCCACGTAATCTAGGGCAGTCCAGTCTTTAACGGATGTGCCTTTCAAAAGATGGTCTTCGCATCCCATTTCCTTATAAGTACAACGCTTTGAGAAGGACAACTTGGTGAATGTCTGGGGGAGAATGAGGGAATGTGCCTGCAGGGTATCATATAAATAAATCGCATTATCCCTTGAGTCATCTTGAATGGACTGTCGTTGGCCAACAACAGCTGAGCCTATATGGGCTTCTTCATCGTCAATGCTGGCATCTAGTCGAGAGTTCAAATCTCCCGCTAGAACTAAATGATCCAGGTTATCATGCGCAACAATGAGCTCGTTTAAGTCCGTCCAGAATGCGGACTTGCGTTGCCGATCCATCTCGGCGTCTTCCACCTGGCTGGGAGCATAGACATTCAGGAGGGTAATCTTATGGGGTCGGGTATTCAGCGTGATCTCGCATATGCGGGGGGAGTGCGGTTTAAAATCATTCACATGTTGTCGCATTTTGGGGGAAACAAAAAATCCTACTCCATGATATCGAGCCTGAGGGTGTCCTGAGTGCAAGATTTCCCACCCATGCTTTGTGAAAGTGTGCGAGGAGGTAGCTCTAGTTTCCTGGGCCATGATTATATCGATACCCTGCTGGCGGGCAAAGAGCAACAGCTGGTCATACTTGGCTACCTCCTGGAGACCTTCTACGTTCCACGTGGCAATTTTAACCTGCGTTCCAGTGGGTAATGGAAAAGATAATTTGGAGTTGATATCGCGGGATTGGTGTGGCGCATGTCTAAGGGAGCGAGCCCTACACGGGTTGAGCTGCTTAAGGAGGCGCACAGTGCTCGTCGGTTTCGGGTAAGCCGGGGGTAAAGGATGGGGTCCACCGGGTACCCTCCGGGTGGCATCCTTACAACCACTTTTCCACATACGAAAATCTCTTCTACCTTGAGCTCTTTTGGTTTTAGCTAATTCACGGCGTCTTTCTATAGCTGAATCGGAGCGTACTCCTCGCGAGTTTCCCCGGTGGGCTTCACGGTGTTGGCAGTCGCGATGGCAATCCTCAGCATCTGAAACTCCATAACGTAAGTGTTCCATATCGTAAGTGTTGTGTGTGTTGACTTTAGGATTGTGGAGCAATCTGTCATAATATCGGTAGAGATGCCAGCGGCTTCCCGGCCCGCCTCCCTTGGAGGCCACCGCTCTCATAACCGTCCCGTATAATTGAGGGGAGGCAGCTCTGGTGGTTTCCACCTCGAAGGACTCGCCTCTTCTATGGGCGTGCAACCATAGAGAGTCCTTTGAATAAAAAGAGTATCTGAAGACGCGCATACCATTAGGTAGAAAAAAAGACTGTTTCCACAAATACGTATGGGAGCGAGGAGTATATGAGGAATACCATATATAATTTCCATTCAGAGCATGTAATAGCTGGTTTCGCTCTCCTACAAAACCACTAATCAAGAAGCATCGGTGCGTCAGGACTGCAAAACTCCGGTGGCGTTGTGAGAAAATGTGGGTGAAACAGAAAAGGTGTCGCTGCTGTGCTTGTTTCCACAAAAAACCGCCAAGACAGGAAGAAGAAACCCTAAGTCTGGGAAGGGGAGAGGGACTACAATAACCCCAAAAGGACAAGGTAACCGTACGCAGTGCTTTCCCTCGCTCACGTGGCGGGCGTTGTAGGGCTGGCGCGGCGTAGGCTGCGCTGCTCTGCACGGGCCGCAGCTCTGCTGCGGAGAAGCCGCTAATGCTGACCAAGAGTCCGTAACGTAAGTGTGGGGTATCGTAAGTGTGGTCTCGCCTAACTCGCTGGATCGCGAGGGCTTCGGTAACGGGAGAACTATTCATACAAAGGGGAGACCTTGCGTTTCCAGCGGATGAAGGAGAGTCTCCATTGATGCTGGGAGACCGCTCGTGGAAGATGTTCAGCTGAATACACCTCAGAGTTTGTCAGGGCTGGAGATATTGGGCCAGCCATGGGTAGGCTTGAGTTGCATAAGTGAGCTGGAGGACAATCCAGGCCATACCAACTATGAAGGTATGTTCACCCCGCTCTGCTAGCATAAGGGAGAGTGCCTCCATACTGTTGCCCCTATTGTTCCAATTTCTCGAAAGCGCTGCTGTTGCATGTGTTTGCACGGTTGAATTGGGAGGCGACATTTTTACAACCAAATCGTAGATTGTACAGAGGGCCTCATTGGGGGCTAAAATATGCTGTTTGGAAGTGGTGTGGAGACCATAAATAGCTGCCATATTATGGTATACGGTGTCAAAGTAGGAGGAGCCCGCCGCTGCCAAACGGCGGAGCGGATCGTTGACAAAGGGAGCCTGTCCTAGGAATACCGCCGTAAGGTCTGTATGCCTTGAGAGGAGATTGGCAAAAATATGACAAAACTGATCCAGGAGGAACTCGGAGTTATTATGGAGCAGGTAGTAGGCGACTGTCTCTACAGATTCTTGCGTAAATGACTCATAGGCCCGGGAATCCTGAAAGGCCCAGCGGAATGTTTCCCTAACTAGGGAGTGCCATGGGATCAGGTCAAGAGTAATAATGTCCTTGGGGGAGTATCCTAGGTAAGCGATAACCGACAAGTTCGGAAGTTCGAAGGCTTGAACTAAGTGCTCCGGAATGAAAGAGCAGGCATGGGCTACGATTCTGAGAATCATACTGCAGCCCTGGACATTACAGGAGTCAACTGAGTAGCTTAGCTGGTGAAAAGCTGGATACTGAGAAAGGAGAGAAGGAGATTGGTTGGTGAAGGTAATGTGTTTCCAGGGCCTGGGGAGATCGGTGAGGGGGTCAGAGGTATCTGTTGCCCTTGTGAGTACCATGTACCACCAATTAATAGCCGAATCCGGAAGATGCATTGAGTAGACCTCCTGATATGTCTCTTGGTATTTGACATAGAGAACTGTCGGATCTTCAAGGAGTTCCACAATGGCTCTTTCGTAGGCAGCCATCAGGGAGTGAACTACTGGGGAAGCCTCATCTTGCGAAATGGATCCGGAGTAGTACCTAGTAACAAAGCCATCCCAGGTTGAACAACAGTAACAAGGAGATTTCATATCGTGATTGCAACTGGGTAGAGTACCATCTGGTGCTTCGACAAAGAAAGGGCATGGGAACCAGGGGATGATCGGTTGGGAGAAAGGAACTAGGTGTTGAAACCTCTGAAATCCTTGCAAAATTTCAACGTGACCCGAGGAGACACAAACTGCACAATCTGAGTTAGTACCTAGAAGGGCGGAACAATCGTCACACTGTACTAAGTTGGGTCTCAAAGTACTGTCGTCCAAGAGGCGATGTCCTTTGCCTCCCGCAGTTGGTTTGCCAGTGCCCCATCCTGGGCGTCTATCCGTAGCAGGGGTAGGGTTCTGATTCTGCCATGGTACAGGGGTAGGGGAGGGAGCATTCCATGGTTGGGGTTCTCTCCACTGGTACTGTCGAGGAGGTGTTTGCTGCCATCCATCATCGTGCCAGGCACTGTCTTGTCGTTGGGAGTGTCGGTTAGTGGGGAAATCGTAGTACTGGGCTCTCTTACCCTTTTTGCCTTTTCCCTTACCTTTGGGAGCATCCTTACCTCGAGAGTCATCCTAGTCATCGTCCATCACAACTTCCCTGTCATTTCTGGAGGCAAAACGACCGCCCTTGTTTCGGGCACCTTTGCCAAACTCTCTCGGGTTAATAGACTGATCTTGCATAGCTTGTTGGATTAGGGGCTGAAGACCGCTGGGGGCATAGGTGTCCAGGAGAATGTTCGGGGAGCATGCTAAGGTATCACGAACCTCTGTGGTAAGCTCCAAAGGTCTAATTTCATACGGGAAATACTTGAGGGCTTCCGAAGGGGAGATGTTACTGATATCCTGGGACTGTGAGTAATGAAACCGTACCGTGGTGGCTCGATGTCTAGAGGCATTAGCTGAAGCTTGGATGAAACGGAGGGTATCATGCATTCGAGTTTGGAGAGCTCCTGCAAAGACTGACAATATATGGGTCTTATGGGAAGGGAGAATCCCTAAGTGGCAAACAGTGTTGCCCTCAGAGTCTTGGAGGTAGATGACTTGCGCTAGGAGCTCGTTGTCATCTGGCTGCCAGAGTTGCAAGGAGTTAAAGTCGGTACGGAGGTACTCCGTAAAGATGGGTATCGTGTCACCTTCGGCCGGGAGTTTTGTGAGGCAGTCCACAACGGCAAGGAGGGGTTGCCTTTCAATGCGTTCTATGACACTAAGGTCTCTCTCTACTCTAATGTGCACATCATCGCCTGATTCTCGGTTCCGAAAATATCTTTTGGAGCGCCTAAAACCCTGAAAGAACTGTTTTGCATGAGATTCCCGAACAAACGTGAGCTTCAGGAAGGCGGAGGAGCTTGTCAACAAATGGTTGGTGGTAGTTTGTATGTCATCCATCTGTAAGTCACAGGCTGCAAGCAAGTAGTACAAATTATCTTGGATAACTTTGAGGGAGCAGAATGGGGGTATTCCATGGATGATGCAGGTTCTATTGTGAGTGTCCGATTGTACCGTAAGTGCTGCAACGCGATCCAATCTCGCTACTTTCTCTACCTTAGAGAACTTCGAAAGGAGATCCTGGGACTCAATCTGAGCGACTCGTGACAGCAACGGCTGCACCTGTTCATGGTGGTATTTTTCAAACCAAGTATGCATGGAGTCCTGGGCAATTTGTGAAAATGCTGGTTCCGACGTAGCCAGTGGGGGAGCAGGACCTACTGAGGATGAGGAAGACTGTTCTACCGGTGCAACAAAACTAGCTGTGCCCCCCGGGGCATGCTGGTACTCTAAACGGGGCTGTTTACTGCGGTGTGTAGCCATAAACATGCGATACTTGATAGGATCACTGCGAAGTTCTTTCACGTAGTTAGGGTCCATGTCGCCCCATTCGATTGGTTCTCTGTCTGTCATACCGTCTGAAGGAGCTTTCAATCCCGTAACTCCTGTCCAATTACTGTCGGAGGGAGCTGGATGTTTGGGAGGGCTAGCGATAGAGGTCAACAATGACTCGTAGACTATCATTGTGATGGGAGTGCGCTTACCTTCAGTAATGGTAGCGTAAGTTCCATCCTTCAGTTGGCAAATTTGGAGATTGGGATTGATCTCATGGAGTTCTTGGATCTCGGTAGGTGCCGGGGGGGCTTCCCCCGACTGGTTTGCTGCCAAGATTTGAGCTGGTGGAGCGCCGGCTGCTACCTGTGGCCCGTCTCCGGCCGCGGCGGCGCCATCATGCTCGGAGGGGCTTGCCATGGCTATCGAAAGTTAGAATACCGTAAGTAGTGAGCAAGCACAAGCACAAATCGCGACCTAGATCAAAACTGAACTGCGCAGTATGCGAAGTGCTACCCCTAACGGGGACGCGTACAAACGTGTGCGTGTGGCACAACACAAGAGTTCTCTACACCCTAGGGGCTGTCCCTGGGCGTCGGGACGGCTCTGAGCCCGAGCCTCAAAAAACCTACTAAAGCCCTAAAACCCTAAACCCTAAACCCGAACCCCCCTGCAACCCTAAATCCCTTCAACCCGAAACCCCAGAAGCAGGACTGTCCCCTCAACCCTAAACCCTCAACCCTCAGCCTTCATTCTCAACCCTCAACCCTCAAACCTCAACCCTCAACCCTCAACCCTCAACCCGAAACCCTAAACCCTAAACCCCCTCTCGACAAGCCCAGGCCTTGCGGCGGCGCGCGTCCACGTCCAGGCGCAAGGAGGAGACCATGTCCCGGACCTTCGGAGAGGTTGAGAGGACTTAGGGTTTAGGGCTTAGTAGGGTTTCGGGTTTAGGGTTTAGGTGAATGTCGTTTCGGGCTCCCAATATCTCAAACATCGGCACCCTCTCGCGGACGAGCCTACAATCTGAACCCCACAGACAGCCCACAAACACCGAACACTCAACCCAAACCCTAGTCCCTAAACCCCAACCCCCAAACCCGAAACTCAATCACAACAGGGGCCCGGGCCGTTTTGATGGCTGCATCCAAATCGTCATTCGCCTCCTTCCAGGCAACGTTGTCCACCTGCAACAGATCCGGTTTGGGGTTAGGGTTTAGGGTTTAGGGGTTAGGGGTTTAGGGCTTAAGGTTTAGGGTTTAGGGTTTAGGGCTCAGGGCTTAGGGCTTAGGGCTTATATGGCTGTGGAGGTTTGTGGAAGCCTCAACCCTAAACTTCATCAAAGGAAGAACCTTAGGCCTTAGGATACCCGAAGCAAAGAAACCCCTAAACCCTAAACCCTAAACCCCTAGCTGATAAAATTCATGAAAGCTCATCCCTTTTCAAAATCATATGGATCCGTTGTTAGCTCACGTAAGCTCATCCCTTTGAACGGCATATGGATCCGTGCTAAGTTCATATAAGGTCATCCCTTTGAGACTCATGCGGAGGCCGCTTCGGTTCTCATTGGCTTCGGTGTGAAAGGAAGGTGCGAACTTCTTGCGGCTTGTAGCCCAAAGGGCCCAAACCCCCAAAGCCAGCAGCCTCCGAAGTCGACGGGCGCCGTCAGCCACGATTGGCAGCCTCCACCTCCACCATCTTGCGCATGGAAAGGTGTGGGGAGGTTTGTGGCAAAGCCTCCTGCGAAACGGCCAGCATGCGGATCCTCTTCAAATTCCTAAAAGCTCATCCCTTTTAAGTTCATGTAAAGCCAGACCCCCTTAAAAAAACAAAAATGCCCGCCCCCCCCCTACCCCCCCCCACCCCCAGTGGTACTCGGGCTTCAAAATGCCAGGTGTTTTCTGCGAGCAAACTCCATGGCTTTCTGCCTGCTGGTTTGGGGATGGGGGGTTTAGGGTTGGGAGGGTTAAGGGTTTAGGGCTTAGGGTTGAGGATTTAGGGTTTAAGGTCTAGGGCACTAACCCCTGAATCCTCTAACAAGTTTTCGACTCCATGTGTGCTGTGGTTAGGGGACTGAGGGTTTAGGGTTTAGGGCGTGGCTTAGGGTTGGGGGGTGGAAAGTGGGTTCCAGCCCTTCTGAACTCTGCCCGACTGTTGCAGTATTGAAGGGCTTAGGGTTTAATTCAGGGTTGAGGATTTAACGAGGGTTTGGGGTTAAGCATGTGTATTCTGCCCGTCACTAAAAACCATCTCAGAAAGTTCCGCAAAGCCAATTGCTGTCCATCCACGTGTCTCTACACCCGTCTAACCCCTTACTCCCTTCAGCAACCACCCTGAACATGCTGACAGGTTTAGGGTTGAGGTTTTGAAAAAAAACACAGCTAAACCACGGCCTTCGTGTCCAGCTTTGTGTTCATCTCGTTCTTCAGGTTGATGATGTCCTGATCCAGGCATTTTTCCGGCTTCTGCTCTCACATGCAAAAACCACAGGGGCTTCCGTGATGTGGTAACGTTTTTAGAGCTCTGAACAGCAGCACAGACATTCCTGAACCCTAAACCCTAAACCCTAAACCCTAAACCCTGAGCCGCCGTAAACTCCTACACCCTCCCCTCCAAAAAGATCCTTATAAGGCTAAGGTTCTAGGGTTCTAGGGGCCAGGGTTTTAGGGGTTAGGGTTTAAGGATTTAGGGCTTAGGGCTTAGGGCTTAGGGCTTAGGGTTTAGGGTTTAGGGTTTAGGGTTTAGGGTTTAGGGTTTAGGGTTTAGGGTTTAGGGTTTAGGGTTTAGGGTTTAGGGTTTAGGGTTTAGGAACTGGGGTTTAGGGTTTAGGGTTTAGGGTCTAGGGTTAAAGGCTCAGGGTGTGGTCATATAGTTGGGGGTTTCGGAAGTGCGGCTCTCCTCTGTCAAGTTCTCCTCCTTCTCTTGCATCTGCTGCAGCCTCGCCCCAGGCACAGTCTGAAACCTCAAATCCCTACGACCCTAAACCCTAAACCCTAAACCCTAAACCCCAAACCCCAAACCCTAAGCCCTAAACCCTAAACCCTAGGCCCCAGACCTGAACATCTAACACCCTAGACGAGAACCCTTAAACTCCTGAAACGGCTAAAACACCAAAACCCTTGAGCCGCCACAGCTTGGGATGTTCCCCCCTTATACTCACAGTCCTTACAAAGGGATTATAATCGGGGGGAGTACTACAGTAACCCTAAACCCTAAACCCTAAACCCTAAACCCTAAACCCTAAACCCTAAACCCTAAACCCTAAACCCTAAACCCTAAACCCAGTCCCTATTAAGGGCTGCTGGTAAATGGGGGGAACATCCAAACCTCAAGCCTTCAAGCCTCGCACCGAGGGTAACAGAGGCTACAAACCCTGGGGCTTACGAAAATAGGGGACCCCCAAAATAGACCGCAAATAAAGGATCGCCACATAAAAATAAAGACCCCAATAAGGTACCCCCAATTATCGTAAACCCCCCTAAACCCTAAACCCTAACCCTAACTACAAACCCGAAAACGTCAGAGCTTCTGGGGCGAAAACAAAACCCAGAGAACCGCTGCCGAGCCACGTGTTCGACACATCCTCCATCCAGCTGTCGTGGTTCTTCAAGGCTTCCTGGTGGGTTCAGGGTTTAGGGTTTACAGTTCAGGGTTTAGGGTTTAGGGTTTAGGGTTTAGGGTTTAGGGTTTAGGGTTTAGGGTTTAGGGTTTAGGGTTTAGGGTTTAGGGTTTAGGGTTTAGGGTCTAGGGTCTAGGGTCTAAGGTTCTTCAAGGCTTCCTGGTGCAATGTTGAGGGCATAGAGGCAACCTGATGCCCTGAGCTCAGAACCACAAGAACCCCGAAACCCTAAACCCTGCTGGCCAAGATGCCCATGGAGAGACCCTCAAGCCCTAAACCTTGGGGCTTGGTGGCTTCGGGTTTGGGGATTAGGGTCTAGAGGTTGTGTACTTCAGGGTTCGCAATCCCTGAAGCCCCCCCTAAACCCTAAACCCTGAACCCTGAACCCTAAACCCTGAACCCTAAACCCTAAACCCCCAAGATCCCAAACCCAGCGCCTGGATGTCTCCGATGTCCAGGCGCATGGTGGAAATCTCAGCCGTCATTGTGGCCTGTCCGAGTTCCAGGGGTTAGGGTTTAGGGTTTAGGGTTTAGGGTTGAGGGTTGAGGGTTGAGGGTTGAGGGTTTAGGGTTTAGGGTTTAGGGTTTAGGGTTTAGGGTTTAGGGTTTAGGGTTTAGGGTTTAGGGTTTCGCCCCAACCCCTAAACCCTAAACCCTAAACCGTAAACCCTAAACCCTAAACCCTAAGGTTAGGGCTTCAGGGTGTTGAGATTGTTCGGGCTGTGTAGCCCGTCTGACTGCAAGCCAGAAAAGCTGGACCGCGAGTGGCAACCCTCAACCCTTTAGGGCCCCAGAGGCCGGGCCCTGTAGCCCTTTAATGGTTTAATTAGGGTTTAGGGTTTTAGGTTTTGGGCTTAGGATTTAAGGGTTTAGGGCTTAGGGTGACAGTTTAGGGTTTAGGGTTTAGGGGGCAATTTAAGGTTTATAGAGCTTAGGGCTTAGGAAACTGTAATCCGAACAGGGCAAAAAGAGGACCAATGGGTGAAACAGTGCCTGAAACCCTTAGACTCTGTCACACTACCTTGGCCTTAGACAGAGAAAAAACACAAAAACAAACAAACAAATTACAGGGTCCTCAAGGGAGGGGGGGTCATGGGGAGTAGGTACCTAGGGAACCTTAGGGAAGCTTAGGGAGCCTTAGGGAGTAGTGGGGAGTATTAGGGAGCTTTGCGCTACATACCCCCTTAAGAACCCCACAAACCAAACTTGCTGCTCACTCCCTGAGCCCTAAACCCTAAGCCCGAAACCCTATACCCTAAAGCCCTGGCTGTTTGAAACTGGGCGCCTCCACACGTTGGCGGGAGGTGATGATGGAGTGGGTGGCGTCGACACGGGCCTGGCGCAGGAGCGGCCCTCAACCCAAGCCCTGAACCGCTTTGGGGTTTAAGTTTAGCTTAGGGGTCAGGACTGCGATTCGTTGGGATTGCGCCGCGGGGCTAGCTCTACAACGAAGAGCAGTGCTCCAAAGGCAGTGAAGCCATGAAGCTCCAAAACGAATGTGCAGATCCAAAACTAATAAAGCCCCTGATCCCCCCCCCTTTAAAACCCCCACCATAAAACCCCTGAACTAAGCACCCCTAAACGCCCCTAAAAAAACCCTAAAAAGCTCAAGGTTGCCCTGAAACCCCCTTTACAGCCCCTAAAGCACCCTCTTTAAGGCCCCTTTCAAGAGCCCTACAAAAAACCCCTTGAAAAACCCCTTTAAAGCCCCCGTCAAAGCCCGTAAAAAGCCCCCAAACACCCCCGAAAAAGCCCCGAAACCCCACACCCCACACCCCACACCCCACACCCCACACCCCAAACCCCAAACCCCAAACACAAGAACACCCCAGACCGAGGCTGGAACGCGCATCTCGTCCAAGTCCACGTTCACGGCGTCCATGGCAGCTGTGAAGTCCTGTCAACACTTGGGTAAAAAGCCGAGCAGCCATCTTGCAAAAAGGGGCTTGGGGTTTGGGGTTTGTAAACCCTAAACCCTAAACCCTCAGGTCCTCCATGTCACGCTCGCAAGCCAGCACGATGCGGCGGATGTGGTTCACTTCGCCCTTGTTGTTGCCTGCAGGATTCGGTGGCTGAGATCTGGGGGTTTACTTGGAGGTTCAGGGTACCTATAACCCCAATTCTAACTGTACTTATAAGCCCCCTAAGTCCTCTAAGTATGTTATAAGTAGACTTATACTCGGGGTTGTAAGTACCCACGAACCTCCAAGTAGGGTTGAGTTTGGGTTTCGGGGCTTTTGCGTTTCGGACTCGGAGATGCCCGTAAACACTTAACCCTCCAAAGGCTTGTTGAAGTGCCATTCCAAAGCCCTCCCTTGCCCCAAGACTTTCAACCCCCAAAAAACCTTAAAACCTGAAAACCCCAACCCCCAAACCATCAAAAGCCCGAATTAAACCATGCCCTGTAAGCCCTAAACCCGCAACCTCAATAACACCTTAGCCCTGTAAACCCCAAACCAAAACCCCACGCTTCGCCCTAAATTCGCTCACCGGCCTAGAAGATCTTTGAGCTCACCGACGTCGTACTTCAACTGGTCGAGGTCCTGTGCAAGAGCTCGCGTCTTGGGGGAATTAGGGTTAGGGGGGGGTTGGGTTGAGGGTTTAAGTATTAGGGTTGACGGTTAGGGATATGGGTTAAGAGCTTAAGGCATACGTTAGATGTTTTTTGGCGAATGCCGCGCGCGCCGTTGCCAGCCCAAAGTGACTGGGCCGAACGTGTGGCTCCGAAATATAAATGAATAAACTAAGCAAAATATGACCACGGGACCGTCCAGCACGGCCTTCCAGACTACGCGCTCGCGAAAAACACGATTGCTGAATCCTGGCCCGAGGTTTCAAAATTGCTCTTGGATAGAAGTCGTGGGACAAGCTGCTGTCGCACTTCTTGTTTCGGAATACTTCAGAAAATTTATGAGTTTCACAGAAGAACTCGCAAACAGGAACAGCAAAATCAAACCGCGGCCTTTTGACGCTTGCGGGCACTCAATAAGATAGATCCTCCATACACTTTGGCAGCGAGAAGCCACCAGCTGGTACATCCTGTACGTCCGACACGTCCGACACCCGATGATGCCTGTCGGCCGTGCCGAGTGGGAGCGGCTTCTCTCCTGATCTTTCGCGCTTTTGCGCTTGTCTACCGCATCTCTCGGAGCGCTTGCTTCTACACGGAGTTGAAGCCCACAAACAAGGCTTCCAAACCAGTTCCAAGTAGGCCTAAGGCAGATTCCCCCTAAACCCTGAATTCTGAAACCCTGCAACCCTGACCACAACCTCGATCTCTCTGCTCGAACAAGGGCCCAGTGAGGCTAACAAAACCCTAGCGGCTCTACAGAACCTGTACTCGCCAAACCTAAGCCTTTCCCCGCAAACCCTAAACCCCAACCCTAACCCCTAAACTCCCCAAGCCCCAAAAGCCCCCGAAGCCCCTCTAAACCCTAAACCCCAAAAAAATCCCTAAATCCCTAGATCCCCAACCCTTAAACCCTAAACCCTAAGCCCTAAGCCCTAAACCCTAAACCGTAAACCCTAAAAACCATAAGCCGCTAAACCCCTAAACCCCTCAAAACCCCAAACCCCTAAACCCCCCAAAACCCAAACGGATCCACACCTCGGCCATGGTGTCCAGGCCTGCCGCACCCCCAGCACCATCCACCTGAGGCGACGGGCGAGTTGTTGCTTTGGGGTCGTTCCCCCGGTGTGTAGGGTTTAGGGTTTAGGGTTTCGGGTTTCGGGGCTTAGGGTTCAGGGTTTAGGGCTTAGGTTTAGGGTTTAGGGTTTAGGGTTTAGGGTTTAGGGTTCAGGGTTCAGGGTTTAGGGTCCAGTCCGGGGTCCAGGGTTCAGGGTTTAGGGCTTAGGGTTAGGGTTTAGGGTTTAGGGTTTAAGGTATAGGGTATAGGGTATAGGGTTTAGGGTTTAGGCTTTAGGCTTTAGGGTTTAGGGTTTAGGGTTCAGGTTTTAGGGTTTAGAGTTTAGGGTTTAGGATTTAGGGGGGCCATGGATTGTGCCTGTTTGGGTGCCTATTTCTTACACAAGTGCTGCTAGACGGGACCCGAACTTAGAGAATTACCCTTTCTTTGTTGTGGGGGGGAGAGAGATTAGGGTTTAGGGCTGGCTTTAGGAGCATTTTGTGTTTCCAGCCTTACAGGGTTCGGGTTCTAAGTCGTAGGCAGTGTCTGTCGGGCTTTGGCTCTTAAAGACATAGCGTACGGGGAGAAGGGATTTAGGGTCTGTGGCTTGGCGGGTTTAAGCACAAAAACCTGAATCTAGGAGGGTTTAGAAGGGTCTCTGGGGCACTCACGAAAACCTAAAAGCAGTTTAACGAACTTCTAAAGTAACAAAAGCGCCAAAGGCCCTAAAGCTTTCTTGGAGCCCATCGTTCATCCCACAAACAAATTTTTCGAAACCCTTTAAAGCGGAATGCCCCAGACCTCCCTTCAGAATCAGCGCCTCAAGATCAAGGGCTTAGGGTATGCTTCGGGTTTGAGCTTAGCCATGTGAGCTTATTCACAGGGTCCGCAACCCTCAAAGTAGCCCGATTCATCTGGGGCTTTCTCCCTCCCTAGCTAGGCTCCCGAAACCCCCAAACCTCAAGCCCCAAAAATGCTTTGCTGCCGAGGCGCCGGTTTGGTTGCAGCCGCACCACGATTGACGTGGCTGAGCTTCTTGTCCTCGGGGGCGCGCGGAGAAGAGGAACCAAGAAAACCCCCGACGGCCAAATCCCTCGTCCCCGAGCATTATAGGATCCCCTCCCCCTACAGCAATTGCTCAGACAAACCCTCCGAATTTTCCCGATTGAGTAGGTTTTTCGTGCTCGAGTATACGGGGAATATGTAAGATCAGGGACGAGTGGGGTGGAGTGGCTCTAGCAACCCGAACCCTAAACCTATAAGGTTTAGGGTCTAGGGTTTAGGGTTTAGGGTTTCGGGTTTAGGGTTTAGGGTTTAGGGTTTAGGGTTTAGGGTTTAGGGTTTAGGCTTAGGGCTTAGGGCTTAGGGCTTAGGGCTTAGGGCTTAGGGCTTAGGGCTTAGGGCTTAGGGCTTAGGGCTTAGGGCTTAGGGCTTAGGGCTTAGGGCTTAGGGCTTAGGGCTTAGGGCTTAGGGCTTAGGGCTTTGCTTAGGGTTTAGGGTTTACGGTTCATAGCTGCAGGTTGACGGCCGAGCGCACAAGCCACAACATGCAGCACCACACAGATGTGTGGCAGCCCCCCACGTCCTAACTTCCCCAGATCAAAACCCTCAACCCATGAAGCATTGAGCCTTGGGGGTTCGGGTTTCTATACTCCCCTTAGAACCTTAGTAAAAGTAATCTTTGTAAAATCCTCTTGGGTTTTATACAAACAAAAACAATAATTCCCAAGGGGGCTATAGGTTTAAGGTTTGAACCTATAGGGTTTTTGTTCAGCGCGACCCACGATTGAAGCCATAACCCCAAATCTTGAACCCTAAACGCTAAACCCTGCCTAAATCCAACACTCAAAACCCAAAACCCTAAACCCTAAACTCAAACCGTCAACCCCAAACCCAAAAACCTTCAACCCCTTAAGGTGTTCCATACTGAGAGGCGAAGCTAACCCCAAACCCCACAAACCCTGAGACCCAAAAGCCCAAAGCCCAAAGAACCGCAACGCCGAACACCCAAGCCCCCAAATGCCCCCAAAACAGCCCCCACACACAAAAAGGCCCTTGACAAATAGAAACTAACCCCCCCCTCCAAAAAAAATATATATATATATATATAAATAATAATAATAATAATAATAATAATAATAATAACAATAATAATAATAATAATAATAATTGAAATTATAATAATAGTAAGAATAATCATAATCATGATAATAATAATCATAATCATAATTATAATAACAATAACAATAACAATAACAATAATCACAATAATAACAATAATAATAATAATCATGATAATAATAATCATAATAATAATAATAATAATAGTAAATGAAATAAAGGAAGCCCTGAAAAAAAGGCCTCCAAAACCCTTAAAACCCCCCTAACAACTCCCTACAAAACCCAACATAAACCCTAAGCCCTCAACCCGAAACCCGAAACCCCCAACCCCAAACCCTAAACCCCTCAAAAAGAAAAGGAAGGCTTAGAAAGAATCCCCAACAGATTATGGGGTTCTTAAAGGTCCCCCAATACTCCCTAAGACCCCCTAAGCGTCTCTGAGGCTCCCGAGGTACCTGCCCCCCTTGAATCCCCCTCCCTTCAGAACCCTAGAAAAAGAAGGCCCCTGAGAGGCCCAACAAAAACTAAACCCTAAACCCTAAACCCTAAACCCTAAACCCTAAACCCTAAACCCTAAGCCCTAAGCCCTAAGCCCTAAACCCTATCCCTAAACCCTAAACCCTAAACCCTAAACCCTAAACCCAAAACCCCTAAGGGCGGGAGGCGAAGTCGGTCTGCAGGTTCGCCAGCTGGGCCGTGATCTGCGACTCGAAGTCTTGCAGGCGGGTGGCCACCTCGGGGCTTGGCGGGGAGTTTAGGGTTTAGGGTTTAGGGTTTAGGGTTTAGGGTTTAGGGTTTAGGGTTTAGGGTTTAGGGTTTAGGTTTAGGGTTTGGGGTTTAGGGTTTTGGGTTTATACAAATTGTATAAAGGTTTGCGTCCAGAGTTTTGGGGGGGGTTTTGGGGGGGTGTTGGAAGGGTTTTGCTTTTTGCTTTTGCTAATCTTGCCAACTTTGTTTTGGGTGGTGTTGGGAGTTTTGGAACCGCAGAGGGTGCCTTTAGGGGCCTCCTGGTGACTGTGGGGGCTTGGGGGCTTGCTGTAAGGTCTGGGTCTATGGCTGGGGTTTACCTCGTGGGTCTTTAGTGTGCTAGGAGTTTAGGAGCTTTGCGTTCTTGGGACCTCCTGAGGTCTAGCATGCAGAAAGTAACCCCATAACCTGATGCTTGCTTGCACACTCTGAGCCCTCATCGGTGCGCCTTCTTCATGATCTGCGCGTCCCCGCCGGTCTTTCGGGAGGGAAGGACGCCATCGTCACCACCTCAGCAGGTTTTGAGGATATCGGGTTTACGGCTTTAAGGGTTTAGACCCTAATTAAACCGCAAATCCTAAAACCTAAACCCTAAGCCCTAAACCCTAAACCCTAAACCCTAAACCCTAAACCCTAAACCCGAACATGGGTTTGGGGTAGCACAAGGGGTTGAATGGCTTAGGGATGTGGAGGTCAGGGGGCTTTCTTTGGGGTGGCACGTTGAAAAGATGTCAGGTTTAGGGAAAGTTTAGGGTTTAGGGCTAGGGTTTAGGATCCTTACAATATTTCGAAAGACCCTAAGCCCTTTAACACCTAGCCGCCTAAGCCCTAAACAACCCCCCCTCCCCCCAAACTCTTCCTTAAACCGCCGGCCAAACATTCAAAAACCCCTTCAACCCAAAACCCGAAACCATCAACAACCTTATGACCTTTCCGAACCCCTCAATACACCCCCACAACCCAGAAACTCTAAACTCCGAATCGCCCCAAAGCCTTTTCCTGGTGCTTAAACCCGCAACAACCCTAAACCCCAAAGGCCCCGAAAGCCGTAAACCCCCATGCCAACCTATTCAACGCCGCAAAGAACCCTCCAAACACACACGCCGTAAAAACCTACGCCCAACAAAAAGAAGCAAGACCGGTCTAAGCATAAACACACACACACGCTCTAAAACCCTGAAGCCCTAAACCCTAAACCCTAAACCCTAAACCCGAAACCCGAAACCCGAAACCCGAAACCCACCCCACTCTCGCCGTTCCTCCGCGCCTGCGGTACCCTCCAGGGCGGCAAGGCGCGACTCGAGCTCCTGCAGCTTGGCCTGAAGGGTTCAACTTAAGGGTTCAGGGTTCAGGGTTTAGGGTTTAGGGTTTAGGGTTTAGGGTTTAGGGTTTAGGCTTTAGGGTTTAGGGTTTAGGGTTTAGGGGTTAGGGTTTAGGGCTTACGGCCTCTGAAAGGGCTTAAGAGTTCAGGGTGGTTTTGGGAGGGGGCTCTAAGGGGTTTTGGGGGGGTTTTGAGTTTAAGGGTGGGGCTTTCTCGGCTTTGGGGTGTCGGGAATAGGGTTTAGGTTCATAGCTTAGATGCATGGGGCTTGGGGTTCGGGTCGTGGCCTAGGTGAGGTGGGGGGCGGGGGGTTCCAGGAGGCTCCTGGTGTTGTGACAGCCTAAACCCTAGACCCGAAACCCTCAAGCCAAGGATAAATAGAAGGTGTACAGGAGCAAAAAACCAACTTCGAAGTTTTTTACTTTGCCAACCCTTCTACAAAGGGGAGGAAGGCCATGTACCTGATGTTCGCCGTTAATTGAAGGAAAGAAGGAAAGGCGGGGCCTTGCAATAAACCCCAGACCCCTCCCACCCCTCCCAGGCCGTTCCTCAAGCTTTCCTTTCAAGCCGCTTCACCAAGTCAAGGCCTTTTCACAGCCCGCCCAGGCCTCCAAACCTTTGCTCAAAACCCCATTGTCACAGATCAGAGTCCTGTTTTCAAAGTGCTCAGAGCAAAAAAAGAAAGGTTCGGTCAAAAACTTTCGGTCAAAGCCTTCGGTCAAAACCCCGGACCCAAACCCTGCACACCTTCCATAAACCCGAAACCCTAAACCCTGTTCAGGGTGTGGGGCCGCCCAGCCGCCTCCATTTCCGAACTCATGTTCACCCCAGGCGTTGCACAGATTTCTGCACCGCCCACGTGGGAGGAGATAGCTCTGAGCTCTCAAGGGACAAGCTGCGGGGGGCGGGCAAGCACGGATATTGGGGGTTGGGTTTGGGGAGTTTTTGGGGTGCTAAAAGGCCTCTTGGGTTTGGTGGAGGGGGGGGGGATATAAGGGTCTTGCGACTCAAAATAAACTGCCGCTGAGTGGGGCTTCCGAAGGGGCAAGGTGGGAAATAGGGTTTGAGTTTGAGTGCTTAGGGGCTTCATGAGGGTTTAGGGTTTAGGGGTTTAGGGGTTTAGGGTTTAGGGTTTAGGGTTTAGGGTTTAGGGTTCAGCATCTGAGCATTTACTAGGCCAGCAGTGTGTGCAGGCAACGGAAAAAAACTCACCCGCCCAAAGAATCCCATAAGATTAAGAAATCAAAAGTTTTAATCAATTTCTGTTCAGACGCACCAAGAGGCCAAACAATCACACGGGTCAGACGGGTCAAAACGCCAAATTCGTGCTGAACCATGGGGGGCCCTATGGGTCAGACGGGTCAAAACGCCAAATTCGTGCTGAACAATGGGGGGTCCAAACGGGTCAGACGGGTCAAAACGCCCAATTCGTGCTGAACAATGGGGGGCCAAATGGGCCAGACGGGTCAAAACGCCAAATTCATCCTGAACAATGGGGGGGCCAAACGGGTCAGACGGGTCAAAACGCCAAATTCGTGCTGAACAATGGGGGTCTAAACGCCACATTCGTGTTTAACATTTAGGGTTTTTTGGCAGAGAGGTTTAGGGTTTAGGGTTTAGGGTTTAGGGGTTTAGGGGTTTAGGGGTTTAGGGTTTAGGGTTTAGGGTTTAGGGTTTAGGGTTTAGGGTTTAGGGTTTAGGGTTTAGGGTTTAGGGTTTAGGGTTCGGGCGGTTCAAAATATGCGACGACCGCCCGGAGCCTGGCTCCAGCTTCGGGCTTAAGGATTTGAACGTCTCGGGGCATAGTTGAAGGATGACACTCCCTAAACCCTAAACCCCTGCCCGGGTTGGCGACTAACATAGGGTTTAGGGTTTAGGGTTTAGGGTTTCGGGTTTAGGGTTTAGGGTTTCGGGTTTAGGGTTTAGGGTTTAAGGTTTAGGGTTTAGGGTTTAGGGTTTTGGGTTTAGGGTTTAGGGTTCAGGGTTTAGGGTTTAGGGTGTAGGGTGTAGGGGTTGAAAGCATAATTCCCAAAACTATAACTCCTGCTTAAAACTACCCAATGAACCTCCAAGTATGCATCAAGGGTTTAGGGCTTGAGGTTTTGGGTATTGGGTTTAGGGTTCTGGATTTAGGGTTTAGGGTTTTGGGCTTAGGGTTTAGGGCTCTAACTGCTAGTTGGTATGTTTGGGGATGACAGGTCTCCAGGAAACTACGGATTGGCACGTAGGGCAGCAGGCTAACACATGCTGAGCCGTGCTGCGGTTTAGGGTTCTAGGGCTTAAGGGTTTTCGGGTTGGTTTAGGGTTCAGGGTTCAGGGTTGAGGGTTTAGGGTTTAGGGTTTAGGGTTTCGGGTTTAGGGATTAGGGTTTAGGGTTTAAGGGTTAAGGGTTAAGGGTTAAGGGTTTAGGGTTTAGAGTGAGGGATCATCTTTTCTGAAGCAGTGCTGGAAGTAGGGGTGTCTCAATACAACTGTCCCATTGCTAGCTCCCTGTGCGTATCCTGTGCGTATCTGAAACGCCAGGAGTATCAACCCGCTATTGAGACGCACCCTTCGTAAGCGGGAGGGTTTAAATGGCGCTCGAGTGAGACGCACAAAACACACCGGCAGGCGGCAACGGTTCGGCTGACCTAAACCCCAAACCCCAAACCCCAAACCCTAAACCCTTAACCCTAAACCCTAAACCCTAAACCAGCCCTATGTACCTCGACGAGCTCCCGAGAATCCCGTCGGCGCTACCTTCTCTTGGGAAGATAGGTCCCCTTCAACATCCCTTGTAGAGGGGGATCTGAGGTACCCTCTAGCTTCCCTATTCCGAAACCCCAAATCCCAAAGCTTTAAACCCTCAACCCCGAACTCTAAACCTAGCCAGACCCCCCCCCCCCCCCCCAACAAAAAAAAAAAAAAAATCGAAGCCTTGGGAACCCTCACTCCCCTAAACCCGAAGTCCTAAACCCTAAGCCCTAAACCCTAAGCCCTAAGCCCTAAGCCCTAAACCCTGAGCCCTAAACCCTAAACCCCAAACCCTAAACCCTAAACTCCACCGACGTCTTCTTCAAAGCTGGCAGGTTGCTCCTGCTGATGCCGTGCCTTGAATTTGGCACCGGGGCTTTCGCCCATTTCGCAGCAATCCAAGTGTGGGGTTTAGGGTTTAGGGTTTAGGGTGTAGGGTGTAGGGTTTAGGGTTTAGGGTTTAGGGTTTAGGGTTTAGGGTTTAGGGTTTAGGGTTTAGGGTTTAGGGTTTAGGGTTTAGGGTTTAGGGTTTAGGGTGTAGGGTCTTGGGGCCTTGGGCTCGGGGGGGCTTCATGGGTTCCATTTGGGGGGAGGTTCAGGGTTCAGGGCTTAGGGATTTTGGGTTGCAAGGTTTAGGGTTTGAGGTTTGGGGTCTAGGGCTCAGGGTTCAGGGTTCAGGGCTCAGGGTTCAGGGTTTGGGGTTCATGGTTCAGGGTTCAGGGTTTAGGGTTTAGGGTTAGGGTTTAGGGTTTAGGGTTTAGGGTTTAGGGTTCAGGGTTCAGGGTTTACGGTTTAGGGTTTGCCCCCCACTACATCCATGCTGGCCTGCGAACTCCTCTGGAGAGTTAGCCTCCGGGAACCACGCGAGGGCAGCGTTCAGCTTGAAATCCGAAGCCCTAAGCCTCAGCACCATCTCCCAAGCCCTTATCAACTCTTAACCCTAAACCCTAAACCCTAAACCCTAAACCCCAAACCGTAAACCCTAAACCCTAAACCCTAAACCCCTAACCTTAAGTAAAATCCTAAACTCTCAAACGCTGAACTCCTAAACTTTAAAGCTGAAAGCCGGAGCCTTCCCTAAACCCCAGCAAGCTTAACCTCGAGGAAGCCAAAAGCTTACGAATTTCGTGAATCCAAAGGGCAGGGGGGGGAGGGGGCTTTTCAGGGTCAGAGTGCAGGGTTAGGTTGAGGATTGAGGGTTTATGGGCTATTCTAGGGTTGAGGGCCTGAGGGTTTGAGGGGATTGGGATTCTCGGGGCTGTAGCGGCTTCAGGACATATATATAAAAAAAAAACAGGGTTTTGGGGTGCTGTGACCTCAGGTAAATGTTCAGGGCTTCAGCGCAATAAGCGCTTTAGGGTTTAGGTGTAGGATTTTGGGTTTAGGGTTCAGGGCTTGTAGGACTTGATCGTGAAGATTTCCGAAATCCCTGACCCTACAGCGAAAGGAAAGAGGCTTTGAGAACACGGCCCTCATTGGGATGGTGAGACGCAGAGGGCGGCAGAGTGTTTGCGCAAGACGCTCTCGGGGGGTTTGCGCAACCGCGGCTCAACTCGAAACCCTCAAACCCTGCACTTGACATATAGAACTGCACATGGCAACATAACTTTAGGTTCCTTCCCTTGTGTTGGGGGGGGGAAGGGTGGGGGGGCAAGTGAGGGGACCAGAAGAGTCCGAGGGCAGGCTCAGGTTCACATGGAAAGGGAGCATTTGGGGTTTAGGGTTTAGGGTTTCGGGTTTAGGGTTTCGGGTTTAGGGTTTCGGGTTTAGGGTTTCGGGTTGATAAGGGAGCGTTTGGGCCGTGCAACACCGGGGCACAGCGTCATTCAGCCATGGGGGCTTCCAAAAGTGTTCAGCTTGGCCGGTTCTAGGCATAACCTGTCACTCCCTATAAACTAGTAGGTTGCAACCCCCGAAAGATAGTGTATGTATGACATCTAAACCCTAAACCCTAAACCCTAACCCCTAACCCTAAATCCCAAACCCTAAACCCTAAACCCTAAACCAACCTAGTAGGTAGATGAGCCCCAGGAAGCGTTTCAACCCCAGTTTCCAGCTTTCCAGAATCCTCTCTGCTGGCAAAGGTGGCTCACTCCGCTGGTGCCGATGCCTGGAGGCTGGATCATGGTAACCTAAACCCTAACCCCTAAACCCTAAACCCTAAACCCTAAACCCTAAACCCTAAACCCTAAACCCTGATTGAGCTTAAGTAACCTGAAAAACGTAAAATGTTAGCCCACTTTGACAGAGGAGGAGGCTAAGGCTTGAGGGTTTCGGGTTTAGGGTCAGGTGTTCGGCAGGGTATAGGGTGTAAGCTTTTGGAGTTTCAGAGATCCAATGTCAATGTCAGGTTGGAAGATCCACGACAGTCGGCCTGCACAGACTGCAGAGACCTAGGGCCTAGGGCGTTAAGGGATCCCGGTGCCAGGCTCAGGCTACTTCCGAGAGAACATCCTCATCCCCTGGAAACATCCCCCAGACAACCCCAAAGCCCTGAGCCCAAGCTCTCGAATCTGCATTCGTCTGTACATGTTCACGGTGTACTTGCCGTGTTTCGTGTTGCTGCTTGCGCTATGTGTTGAGCCTTGAGCGTACTTCCAAGCAGATGTACATTCATCACACTAGCTGCCTGGCCTACATCAGCTCTGCACGGCAGCGTGAGTTTCAAGCCGGGACTTTCTTTGTCTTGCGTGCAAAGAAACCGCATGCGCGTGAGCTATGGGGATTTGGCCCGGGGAACTGTTCGCTCCATGCGTACTTTATTCCCAAACTACTGGTTGGCTCTCACCAGCAAGCCCCTCAACCCTAAACCCTGAACCCTAAACCCTGAACCCTGAAACCCTAACCCTAAACCCTAAAACCTCAAAAACCCTAAACCCTAAACAAAAAAAAACCTAAACCCTAAACCCTAAACCTAGGGGTCCTTGGATAGGGGCAGCCGGACCTGTGCTGGCGGGCGCCGTACGGGCGCCGTGGCCACAGCGCCCGCGGCGCGAAGTGAGGAGGACCTTTTGGGTTTAAGTAGGGTTTAGGATTTAGGGTTTAGGGTTTAGGGTTTAGGGTTTAGGGAGTGAGGAGGGCCTTTTG